GGCCCATTTAACGCAACGCAATGTGAAGGGTTTTTCAAACGCACTTAAGGGTTTCTTGTTACTCACACATTTGATGCAACGGCCCATTTGAGAAGCGAACACACTGGCAGGCAGGAGCGGGTGTGTTGTGTTCCACAAGGTGAAAGTGGGAGGTCAACGGGTGAAAAGCATCAGGAGAAGAAGCGTGAAGCGGGCGGGCAGGGAATGTTTTTTGAGGCGCCTCAAAAACACTGGCAGGCATGAGCGGGTGTGTTGTGTTAGACAAGGTGAAAGTGGGAGGTCAACGGTGAAAGGCATCGGGTGAAAGGCATCGGGTGAAAGGCATCGGGTGAAAGGCATCGGGTGAAAGGCATCGGGTGAAAGGCATCGGGTGAAAGGCATCGGGTGAAAGGCATCGGGTGAAAGGCATCGGGTGAAAGGCATCGGGTGAAAGGCATCGGGTGAAAGGCATCGGGTGAAAGGCATCGGGTGAAAGGCATCGGGTGAAAGGCATCGGGTGAAAGGCATCGGGTGAAAGGCATCGGGTGAAAGGCATCGGGTGAAAGGCATCGGGTGAAAGGCATCGGGTGAAAGGCATCGGGTGAAAGGCATCGGGTGAAAGGCATCGGGTGAAAGGCATCGGGTGAAAGGCATCGGGTGAAAGGCATCGGGTGAAAGGCATCGGGTGAAAGGCATCGGGTGAAAGGCATCGGGTGAAAGGCATCGGGTGAAAGGCATCGGGTGAAAGGCATCGGGTGAAAGGCATCGGGTGAAAGGCATCGGGTGAAAGGCATCGTGTGAAAGGCATCGTGTGAAAGGCATCGGGTGAAAGGCATCGGGTGAAAGGCATCGGGTGAAAGGCATCGGGTGAAAGGCATCGGGTGAAAGGCATCGGGTGAAAGGCATCGGGTGAAAGGCATCGGGTGAAAGGCATCGGGTGAAAGGCATCGGGTGAAAGGCATCGGGTGAAAGGCATCGTGTGAAAGGCATCGGGTGAAAGGCATCGGGTGAAAGGCATCGGGTGAAAGGCATCGGGTGAAAGGCATCGGGTGAAAGGCATCGGGTGAAAGGCATCGGGTGAAAGGCATCGGGTGAAGAAGCGTGAAGCGGGCGGGCAGGGGATGTTAAGTGGAGAAAGGTTGGAGAGGGCGGCGGATAGAGTCGTCAAAGACTCATTTAACAGAAACGGCAGGAGTTCAATTCCTATATTGGCATTTTACAGTTCTGAAACTCCTCAGGGCTCAAAATGACTGCTGCCGTGACTGCGATGCGATGGTGATGGAGCAGCCGTGAAGTGAAAGAAGCAGCGGCATGGAGCTGAGTTTTGAGTCGACTCAAAAGACTTATGAGGCGCCTCAAAAGGTGATGGAGCAGCCGTGAAATGAAGCAGCGGCATGGAGCTGAGTTTTGAGTCGACTCAAAAGGCAACGGAGCAGCGGAACAATGGTGATGGTTGCGATTGCAATAATGATAGAGCAGCAGTTACGGAGGGAAGCAACAAAGTGGAGCAAGAGAGTGATGGTGATGGTTGCTATTATGATTGCATTTGAAACAGTTGTGGAAGAAGCAAAGTCAAGGATTGGGAGGATGCAAGAGGCTTCTGGGATTGGGGTAGGAGAGGATTGAGGAGAGAAGCGTGTAATCAGACATTCCAGCGAGCTGCAGTTCGCTGGAATGTCTGATTACACGCGACGATGCAAGAGGCTTTTGGGATTAGGGTAGGAGAGGATTGAGGAGAGAAGGAAAGATTTTGAGAATTCTCAAAATCAGCTAAAAAAAAAAGTTAGGGTAGGAGAGGTCGTTTTTTAGGCGCCTCAAAAACGACCTCAATGCATTGAGGAGAGCAGGAAAGAGAGAGGCCATGAAGGGAGGAGGGCAGGGGGGTTTTTGAGAATTCTCAAGAACTCCCTTTTAGGATTAGGGTAGGAGAGGACTGAGGAGAGAAGGAAAGAGAGAGGTGATGAAGGGAGGAGGGCAGGGGGGAGGGAGGGAAGAGAGGAGGAGAGATGGAAAGGAGGCGAAGAGAGGAGAGAGAAGAGAGGAGAGAGAGAAGAGAGGAGAGAGAGAAGAGAGGTGGATGCAGGAAGAGAGGGAGGGAAGAGAGGAGAGGAGAGGTAAAAGAAGAGGAGTGAGGGAAGCGAAGGCAGAAAAGGGAGGAGGCAGAGAAGAGAGGAGGCAGAGAAGAGAGGGGGCAGAGAAGAGAGGAGGCAGAGAAGAGAGGAGGGAGGGAAGCGAAGGGGGAAAAGGGAGGAGGCAGAGAGAGAGGGGGCAGAGAAGAGAGGAGGGAGGGAGGGAGGGGGGAGCGAGGAAAGAGGGAGGAACAGAACGCACGGAGGGCGAAGATGCAGAGAGCAGTGATGATACAGCCGATGATGGAGAAGATCAGTGTGCTGAAGGGAAGGGGGGGGGGGGGGGGGGGGGGGGGAGGGAGGAAATGGGGAGGGAGGAAATGGGGAGGGAGGAAATGGGGAGGGAGGAAATGGGGAGGGAGGAAGGGCCGGGAGGGCTTTTGAGACATCACAGAAGAGGCAAGGATGTCTCAAAAGGTGATCATGTAACCAATGATGGAGAAGGTGAGCGTGCTCAAGGAAGGAGGGGTGGCAGGGAGGGAGGGCAGGGAGGGAGGGCAGGTAGGGAGGGCAGAAAGGGAGGGCAGGGAGGGAGGCTAGAAGAGGAGAGTAGGCAGGACAGGGAGGGAGGCTAGAAGAGGAGAGTAGGCAGGGAAGAGAAAAGGCAGGAATGATTTTTGCGGGGCCTTTGAAATCAGTCTCAAGTTAGCAGGCATCGCACCGCACCGCACTACACCCCACCGCGCTGCGTTGAACTGCACCGCACTGCACCCACAAGACATGCAGCCGTTTGTTGATGGTGCTGATGCCGTCCGTGATCTTGGCCTGCAAGTCGTACTCACAGTTCACAGCTAAAACCGCACCGCACCCCACACCCACCCACCGCATTGGACGGCACCACACCGCACAGCACTGAGCAGCACCGCACCACACCGCACTGCACTCACACTACATGCAGAGCGTCATTGATAATGACGATGCCATCCGCTGTCTTGGCCTGCAGCTCTGTGGCTGCCTGGTTCGCCAACCACTATCGTACCACATTGCACACCACACACAACCGCATCGCACCCCACTGCACCGCACTGCACTCACACTACATGCAGAGCGTCATTGATAATGACGATGCCATCCGCCGTCTTGGCCTGCAGCTCTGTGGCCGTCTGATTGGCCACCCTTGCTTTGCTCTGTATGTCCGCCTTCTTAGCAGCTGTAAAGAGGGAGAAAGGAGGGAGAATGGAGTGAGAAAGGGGTGAGAAAGGGGGGATAATGAAGGGAGAAAGGAGTGAGAAAGGAGTGAGAAAGGAGGGACAATTGGGGGATGGTCAGGCGCCGTCTTGGCCTGCAGCCCCATGGCTGTCTCGTTTTGTCACTTTTGTCTTGCTTTAAGTGTCCGCCTTCTTAGTGGGGAGGGAGCGAGCGGGAGGGGGGAAATCAACAGTCTCCGTGAGGAGATCCATGGCCATGTGCACCCGGTGCAATATTTGTATGATATGTATATATGTATGGTTATTCATAAACAAAAAAAAAGAGAGTTGCTCTACAAAGAGCATGCCGTAGTACAGACATTCAAACAAACTAGCACAAGCAAGACAATCAAACACACATGGGACGACGGTGTTGGCGATGTTGATGGTGGTGCTCGTCTCAACGATGGGGGTCAGGTTGAGACGGCGTTGGCCGTGAAGTCAACTGTCTCTGTGATAAAGTCCGTCACCTTGTGCACTCGTTGCTACGTGTAAAAAGATGATTTTTGAGACGCCTCAAAAATCATCTTTTTACAAGTCTGTCACCTTGTGCACTCGTTGCTAGAGGGATCCAGGGTCTAGGGTTAAATTAGAAAGCACGCTTTTGAGTCGACTCAAAAGTCACCGGGATCCATCCAGGGTCTAGGGTTTAGACAGCACGCTTTGCTGGAGGAAAGCCGGGAAAGCACGCACGAGGGACGACGGTGTTGGCGATGTGGATGGTGGCACTGGTCTCAACGATTCGGGAGAGGTTGAAGACGACGTTGGTTGTGAAGTCAACTGTCTCTGTGATAAAGTCCGTCACTTTGTGAACTCGATTCCTCAGCTGCACGCCGCCTGCTAGCATCACAGAGAATCCCACTCTGGGAAAGAAGGGAGAGGGGGGAGGAGAGAGGGAGGGAGGAAGGAGGAAGAAGGAAGGGGAAGAAAGACGAGAAAGGGTGAAATAAAAAGTCTCTGTGATAAAGTCCGCGCCCTTGTGCACTCTGTTCTGTTCCTCAGCTGCACGCCCCCTGCGATCATCACAGAGAATCCCACCCTTGAAGAGCAGGGAGGGGAGGGGGAAGGAGGGGGGAAAGGGAGGGGAAAAGGGAGGGGGGAGGGAGGGGGAAGGGAGGGGGAAGGAAAGGGAAATGGAGAAAGAGTGAATTCAACTGTCTCTGTGATAAAGTCGGTGACCTCATGCACTCGGTTTCTCAGCTGCACGCCCCCTGCGAGCATCACAGAGAATCCCACCCTGGGGGATTGAGGAGGGGAGGGGGTTAGGGACGCCAGGGGATTAGGAACAGGAGGAGATTAGGGACTGTGATATTGTGCTGTGCTACGCAATTTGGTGCGGTGCTGTGCGGTGCTGTGCGACGATGTACTTAGCAGTATTGTGCTGTATAATACTGTTATGTGCTGTGCTGTGCTGTGCTGTGCCGTGCTATGCCCTGCCGTGTTGTGCTGTGCTGTGCTGTGCTGTGCTGTGCGGTGCGGTGCGGTGCATTATGCAGTTGGCACCTCCTTCCAATCCAACCATCCCATCAGAGAAAAACGACAAAGAAAGAAAGAAAGAGAAAAATACGAATAACAATAACGGAACAGCGGAATGTTTACGCAATCAAGCAACTGTACATCCATCTCCACTTCGCACCACTGGTCGCTAAAGCGAGAGACGAAGCTCATCCCCGCTACAAGCGGTTTTCCACACCAGCACACTCACAGCACGGCGACAATTCCGAGAAGCATGAATCCCAGCGGCACCCAGAGGTCTTTCTTGGTGTACTTGGCGTATGCAGGGTCCCTCATTTCGGTCCACTTGTCGCGACAGCACAGGCAGGTGAGCAGCGAGAATCCGAGAATCCCGAGGCCCAGGATGAGCCAGAGTAGGCCAAAGAGTGGCACGTAGACCACCGACCACATGACTGACTGTTGTCGGGGGGGGGGGTTGCGGGGAGGGATGGGATGGGGGGGATAAGGTGTAAGGGCGGGGAGAGGGGGGCAGGAGGAGAGGGAGCGAGAATCCGACAATCCCGAGGCCCCAGGATTACCTAGAGCAGACTCAGCAGCGGCGCGTATACCACCAACCACATGACGGACTGGGGGCAGGGGGTGTTGTTGGGAGGAGTTACATGAGCGGGTTACGTGTGCCACATGGGGAGAATTTCGTGGATTCAAGGATAACGTGGGCTACGTGAGTGAGTTACATGATGGGTTACGTGATTTACGTGGGTTCCGCGAGTGATGTCGGCTAGGCGGCTTACTTTGGATCACGTGAGCTACGTGTATTACGCGAATTACGCGGGTTACACAAGTTACGCGGGTTACTCATTCTTTCGCGAAACACGCCGCCAAACACGTACCGCCCAGTAGTCCTTGCTGCTGGGGTTCCGGCCGCCTGTGTAGTAATTAAGTCCATCGAGGGGGTTCTTGCGTCTCTTGGGGTAATGTGAGCTATGTGGGTTGCACAAGGTTCGTGGGTTGTGGGTTGCATGGGTTAATCTTTCGCGAAACACGTACCGCGCAGTAGTCCTTGCTGCTGGGGTTCCAGCCGTCATTGTAGCAGTAAAGCCCGTCGAGGGGGTTCTTAGCGTCGGTTGGGTTATGAGAGTCATGCGGGTTACACAAGTGACGAGGGTTACTCATTCTTTCGCGAAACACGTACCGCCCAATAATCCTTGCTGCTGGGGTTCCAGCCGCCCGTGTAGTAGTTAAGTCCGTCGAGGGGGTTCTTGCGATGCGTGCGGTTCGGAGCGAGCGTCACGTTCTGCAGGGCTTGCAGCTCGCGGCGCTTCACGCGGCTCGAAGGGTCGGCGTGACTCAAAGGGCCGGCGCGATTCAAAAGGTCGGGGTGACTGTAACGGGAGTGCTCGAAAAGCGCTACGCGAGGCGCTTCTGCAAGAACGTTCTGAATAAGCGTGTGATAATAAAGAACAGTCTCGGGAAGGTCATTGTAGTCCGTTGGATCGTTCTGCGATACTGCCACGTCAAGAACCGAGAACGGCCAGCTAATGCTGTTTAATCTCCCCGCGACTCGCGCCGTCGAATCCGGGTCGGCCGCGCACAAACGCGGCGCGATAGCTACACCGCAGATGGCCAGGAGGAGGAGGGGATAAACATTTCTGATGATCGCCATCTGCGAACGGCCACGAGTGGGCGAAGCGCGGTCTGTGCGACGCGGGTTACCCTGTTTCTTTGGCGAAAGCACACCACCAGCGCCTCCTCTTCCGCGCGGTTCGTCTATCTCCTTGCGTGGAAACTTCCTTTCTCTGTAAGAACTAAGACGTTCGCGCCACTGGAGTAGTTAGTCTCGTGTGAGAGGAGAGGACGTGTAACTAGCGACACTTATTGACGTCTGAATGAGCCGCTTCCTGTGCCTATCACCCTAAAAGTTTGTAGCAATTCCCGCAGCAACAAATAGATCCGCGTACTGCGCAACCAGCGGCAAGGTATGTGTGAAGAGACGAATCAGAACCACAGGAAAGAGTGAGCCAGAACGACTGACGTCCAAGAATAGAAACACCAGACAAAATCAGTTAGCAGTAAAATGGCATTTCTGCTCTGCTTGGGATGAGAGTGGAACGATTGGAACTTGAAAATGGAAATACACTGAAAGTGTGGATGGGGAGGAAAGGAAGTGGGGAGAGGGTGGTTGGGAGGGAGGTATGGGACTGAGGCCTTGGTGGTTGGGGGACTGCGGTGGCCGAAACGGCGCTTCGTGTGTTCTTTGACTCGTCCCGCTCTGCCCGTTGAACTTGGGAATTTTTTTTCTCAGTAGTTCCCGACCATCATGGACATTGCGAATTGGCGAACTTTTCGTGAACTGACGTTTCCGCACGCGACGAGATGGTTACCAGCTCTGCGAATACCCGACGCACAGAACATTCACACTTCTGGGCATTTTGGGGTGGGCTGTCATTTCCAGCTGTTCGATTCGGTTCGGTTTGGTGCCCCTTTTTCCGAGGAAGAAGGCAGTGGCGACACGCGATTCGCCATCACGTCAATCGTGTCTGGTATGGGATTAACGGATTTTTCTTTCGCACCGAACCGAACCGAACGAAGCCCAGACTTCAAGTTGATTTCAGCGAAGCCTTCAACCATCTGTCTGATCTGATCACACACTCTCAACACAGCAATCTTGTACTCGACAAGGGGAAACTCAGGATCGTCTATAACGAAGAGAGTGGAACCTACAATGGTTGTGCATAAAACTAAAACGAATAAATGCCCAACTGCGCCGTACGCGGTACTGGCGAATGCACGAATATTCAAGATCAGCTGATGGTCAGATCGCATGCCTTTCGATCACCTTCCATAAACGCGAATCGCTTTCACCACCACCGCGCAACACGCACAACGCGCTTCGCCGAAATGCCCGTTCCGCTGCATCTTCTGCTCGTGGCGCCTCCCTATCACGGGCCGATCTGGACAAGCCTCGAAGCGCCATCCCCACCTGTTCACCGCCAATCAGCATCGACCATCCCGAACGTTCTCCTCGTTGCACCGCCAATCACGGACGTCGTTCCGACATTCTCCTGTCTCTCCGTCCCTCCTCTCGCGTCGCTTCCCTTCGCGTATCCTCCCTTCGCGTCGCCTCCCGAAGCGCCTGGTATCGAGCCGGTCGATTTCGTCAATTCCGTCAGCTACGAGTCGGCCGCTGACGGCCGGTCGACGTGGATCGCGCCGGCAGTTACTGCTGTTGGGGCGACACTGCCGGTGTGGTGGCGACGCGGCGTGCGGATTGTGCGGACCGTGCTGGTGAGACGGAGTTGATAGTAGGATGCAGTAGAGTGGTGAGGAAGGTTGGAGGGTGGTGAGGAGGGTTGGAGGGTGGTGAGGAGGGTTGGAGGGTGGTGAGGAGGGTTGGAGGGTGGTGAGGAGGATCGGTCGGTGTGAGCAGGGTTGGTAGGCGGTGAGCAGGGTTGGTGGGCGGTGAGCAGGGTTGGTGGGCACAGTCCGTTTCGGTTGTTAGCCGCTGATTGTAAACCCTGATGATCTTCCAGTCACTCACCTACCAATGCAGTAACTGCACTCCATCTACCCTTCCTTCTCCCCCACTACCCCGCTTTCCCCCCTCCCCTCTCTTCTTCCCACTTCTCCTCACTGAACCCACCTTCCTCGCCCCTCCCCTCCCCCAATCCCCCTCCTCCTGCGAATCCTGCATCTATTTTACTGTGTCTGCAGCGTCCAAGAAAATGCCGCACATGCCTCGGCACAGGATACAATGTAACTTGCTTGATTGTTTGTTTGTTTGTTTTGAATAGTTATTTCACTCCTTCGTCCCTGCATTGATTATGTGCCCTGCATTATTTTTGTTTTCAACCGGAATGGTTGGTCTCGTTCCTTTCCCTTTTACAGAGACATGCACACATGCGTTTGCACAACCATGCATTCTCACACACACGCACACACGCACGCACCATCCATGCACACCACCCACACAAACCCACAGCAAACACACAAGCCCCAGCACACTCACATGCCCACCCCACCACGCACCTACATAACTCCCTTCCACCCATACACCCACTCCCACCCACCCACATACAGGTGTACACACACTCATACCCCAACACACACACACACACACCCTCACTTCCCCCTTTTCCCTTCCCCTTTTCCCTTCCCCCTTTCTCAAACCTTTTTTTCACCTTGTTCGTTCAGCACCCAACCTTCTGAGTCGACTCAAAAGTCACCTTGTTTGTTCAGCATCCAACGTTCTGAGTCGACTCAAAAGTCACCTTGTTTGTTCAGCACCCAACCGTCTGTGTCGACTCAAAAGTCACCTTGTTTGTTCAGCACCCAACCTTCTGAGTCGACTCAAAAGTCACCTTGTTTGTTCAGCACCCAACCTTCTGAGTCGACTCAAAAGTCACCTTGTTTGTTCTGCACTAAACCTTCTGAGTCGACTCAAAAGTCACCTTGTTTGTTCAGCACCCAACCTTCTGAGTCGACTCAAAAGTCACCTTGTTTGTTCAGCATCCAACCTTCTGAGTCGACGCAAAAGTCACCTTGTTTGTTGAGCATCCAACCTTCTGAGTCGACTCAAAGTCACCTTGTTTGTTTAGCACCCAATCTTCTGAGTCGACTCAAAAGTCACCTTGTTTGTTCAGCACCAAACCTTCTGAGTCGACTCAAAAGTCACCTTGTTTGTTAAGCATCCAACCTTCTGAGTCGACTCAAAAGTCACCTTGTTTGTTGAGCATCCAACCTTCTGAGTCGACTCAAAAGTCACCTTGTTTGTTCAGCACCCAATCTTCTGAGTCGACTCAAAGTCACCTTGTTTGTTCAGCACCCAACCTTCTGAGTCGACTCAAAAGTCACCTTGTTTGTTCAGCATCCAACCTTCTCTCTTCCGTGTTTTGAGTCGACTCAAAACACGACTTGTTTGTTCAGTCAGCATCCAACCTCCTCTCTTCCAACCCTCTCCACCCCCGTTGGCCCATCCAGCTCTGTTGCAAGTGTCACGGCCGGGGAAAGCAAGGTAACTGACTGCGCCGCACCCCCCCCCTCCCGCACCACATTTACTCTCCTGCACCACATTTACCGCACTCCCTTTGGGCCGTGCAGCTCTGTTGCAAGTGTCACGGCCGGGAAAAGCAAGGTAACTGACTGCGCACTACCGCACTCCCCCCTCCCCTACCGCACTCCCCCCTCCCCTACGGCACTCCCCCCCCCCCCTACCGCACTCCCCTTTCACCTTGCACTTTTATCAATTGCTCTTGCACTTTTATCAATTGCTTTCGCACTTCCGCTTCTCCTCTCCAACTCCACCTTTCCACTTGCCATCTTATTTTCAATATTTTACCCATGCTCAACCCGCGTTTATCCATGTACACTGTGGAAACATTCCCCATAACCAATGGGCATTTACCCGTGTACACTGTAGAAAAATTCCCCATAACCAACAGGTATTTACCCATGTCAACCCGCATTTACCCATGTCAACCCGCACTTACCCATTTCAACCCGCATTTACCCATGACCAGCCCAGAGCTACCCACATCCAAACCAGAGCTACCCGTGCCCAGACACATTTCTCCCTCTCCTCTCCCTCTCCCATTTCTCCTCCCACAGGTGGCCTAGTGACGCAGCAACCACTGCAGGCGTGCCAGCAGTGTGAGGGGCGGAGGTGGGGCCATGAACGGTGCGAGCAGTGCACTACAGCCAGAGCGCTTGTCCGACCTATCATTGCCCAAACAGAGGCCAGTGTTTCGCCTGCAATCACTGGCCCTATCATTCCCATTGCCTCCTCTCTCTCTCTCTCTCTCTCTCTCTCAACACTCCCTCTCCTCTCCTCCTCATCTCCCCACCTAGTGACGCAGCAACCACTGGAGGCGTGCCAGCAGTGTGAGGGGCGGAGGCGGGGCCATGAACGGTGCGAGCAGTGTGCTGCCAGCCAGGGGGCTTGTCCGACCATTAGCTCTATCCTTCCCACTTCCACCTCTCTCCCATCTCTCCCACTCCCTCCTCCCCTCTCTCCCTTCTCCTGGCTCTCCTCCCACAGGCGGCCTAGTCACACAGCAACCACTGCAGGCGTGCCATCAGTGTGAGGGGTGCGGCCACGAGCGGTGCGACCGTTGTGCTGCCACAGGCCTGGCCAACCATTGGCTCTACTCTCCCTCAAAGGACGGGGGCTGGGGACCTCGAGGGCACTAGTGTTTGGGGTTTACGGCTGTCCAAGCCAACCATTCTGGCACAAGTATAATCGCTGCGACCGTTGTGCTGCCACAGGCCTGGCCAACCATTGGCTCTACTCTCCCTCAAAGGACGGGGGCTGGGGACCTCGAGGGCACTAGTGAAGCGGATTAGGTTTAGCCATTCCCCCTCTGTTCCCTGCTCTCTCCTCTCCATCTCACGCTGCGACAGGCCTGGCCAACCATTGGCTCTACTCGCCTGCCAAGCCAACGATGGGGACTGGGGACCGCAAGGTCATTAGAAGATCTGACTAGGTTTGCCCGTTACTGCATTCGAGGATTCTTTCTGGTCACATTGTAGTCTGTGCCCAGCCCAGCATTATTCATTCCATGCAGGCGTTTGGCTGTTTCTGTAGAGTAATATGTAGTATAATCACATTTCAGCTAAGTACACCCACTGCACGAGGGCGCTGCCCTGCAATCTTGCTGTGCAACATTAACGTAAATAAATACTGTTACCTACATAGGGAGAATGCAGTCATTAATCCGGCAGCAGGGCTGCTGCTTGTAGTGAGGAAAAGCACCTATGCACCTATCCATTGGGACTTGCGACCTAGCTTCATATCTACACCTCTCTACACCCCATGGGCGAAAGGCAGAGAAAGAAGAAAAGAGGCACCACCGCACGGTTCTGCAGCACTTTTTCAAGATAAAACCCCATCCCATCCCACGCTATCTACGTGCCACTGGAGTGTGTTGGTGCTATCTAAGTTGCTCCCATCCAAGCCTGCTCCCATCCAAGCCTGCTCCCATCCGAGTCTGCTCCCATCCGAACCTGCTCCCAACCGAGCCTGCTCCCAACCGAGCCTGCTCCAACCAAGCCTGCTCCCAACCGAACCTGCTTCCGCCTTAATCAACTCACGATGCATCTCGTAAACTCCTGCACGTTGCGTCACTCCCCCCCTCCCTCACTCCCCCCCTCCCTCATTCCCTCCCTCCCTCATTCCCTCCCACCCTCGTTCGCTCCCTCCCACCCTCGTTCGCTCCCTCCCTTCCTCTTTCCCTCCCACCTTTCCTCTTACCCTCCCATGCTCCCTCTTTCCTTCCCATCCTCCCTCTCTCCTTCCCTCCCTAACCCCTCCCTCCTTGACTCTCTTTCCCTCTATCCTCCTCCTGCCCTCCTCCTTCCATAGCACCTCTACCCTCCACCACTCATCTCCACCACTCATCTCCACCACTCATCTCCACCACTCATCTCCACCACTCGTCTCCACTGCTCATCTCCCACTGCTCATCTCCCACTGCTCATTTCTACCGTTCATCTCCACCGTTCATCTCCACCGTTCATCTCCACCGTTCATCTCCACCGTTCATCTCCACCGCTCCTCTGCACCATCCATTCACTGCTACTACACACGCAGACGACCCTACTCCCATCCCTTCGGCTCCCTTTACTGCTTCCCTTCACCGCCTCCCTTCCCCTCCTCCATTCCTCTCCTCCATTTCCTCTCCTCCCTTCCCGTCCTCCCTTCCCCTCCCCCTCTCCCCCTCCTCCCTCCTCCTCCCTCCTCCTTCCCCTCCCCTCTCCTCTCCTCCCTTCCCGTCCTCCCTTCCCCTCCCCCTCTCCTCTCCTCCCTTCCCGTCCTCCCTTCCCCTCCCCCTCTCCCCTCCTCCCTTCCCTCCTCCCCTCCCCTCCTCCCTTCCGCCCTTCACCGCTTCCCAAAGAAATACCCAAACAGCCCCTTCTTCTGAGGCGCAGCAGCCGCCGCCGCAGCCGCACCTTTCTTCTCATGCCCCTTACTCGCCCCCCCCCCCCACCCTTAGCACCACTACCAGCACCACCACCACCACCAGCAGACGGAGCAGCATCCGCCTCCTTCTCCCCCTTGGTCTGTTCCACATATTTCCTCAGCATTGGCAGAACCACCGTCTCTAAATCCGGCCGGTTCGTCCTGTCCCGACACTTGAGCGCCACGTCAGCAACCTCCTTCACAATCTCCGGGTTCCACTGAACCGTCTTATCCAAATGATCCAGAATTCCCTCCAGCCCGAATTTCGCAAATTCCAGCACCTTATTCACCTTTTCTCCCGTCAGCAACTGCAGGATCACCAACCCTAATCCGTACAGATCCGACTGCGGGCCGTATTTCCCGGTGCGGAGCAGCAGCGGATCGATATACCCCACAGTTCCCCAAATCGACGAGTCGTTCGCGGGGAGAAATTTCGCCAGACCGACTCCGCCGACCTTACAGGAGAGATCCTCGTTCAGCATGACGTTTCCGGGTTTCACGTCCTGGTGGAGAATCGGCGGCTCGAGATGGTGCAGGAACAGCAGCGCTTCGGACGCCTCCGCCGCGATTCGCAGCCGGTCCTTCTGCTTCATCGTTTTCCGTCCACCCTCCGTCAGCAGACGGTCCTCGAGGCTCCCGGCCGGGAGGGATTCGTACACGATACAGCGTGCCTCGGGATTGTATCCGAGGAGCTTGACCAGATGCGGGTGGTCGGCGCGCGTGAGGTTGGTCACTTCGCGCGTGAATTTTTCCGCGGCTTGGCGGGTGTTATCGGGGTTCAGCTTCATTACAAGCACAGGGGAACCGTCCGCGAGCTTTCCGCGGTAGCCCGTGCCGAAGCCGCCGCGACCGAGCGAGTTTTCGCGCGCGTAGTTATTCGTGGCCTCGTCGAGCTCCTCTGCTGAGAACGTCTTTAAACCGGTTTCGGTACCCATTGTGATTTATCGGAGCTGCTAATATTATTGCTGCTGGTACAGCTGATGATGCTGTGGTTAGTGCCTTGAAAAAAAAAAAAAGTGCTGCAGTTGCTGTCGATACCTAGTAAGGGTACAGGCTGTATTTCTGGAAATGACGCGGCCTATGTTACCTCGCAAACGTGACAACAGACTGGCATAAAAAGTTGCGAGTTTTGAATGCTGAGTCGGAACCTTAATGACTCAGTTACGTCTACCACTAAAAATACTCCCGGATTGGTAAATAATCGCTAGCAACACGTACTAGCACCAACGTCCACCGTGGCTTTTATCTTAACTAAGCCACCTTTCACAACCACGGTTGCTCTTCTAAAATATGAGACGGGTCCTGAAAAGGAAAAACGATCTCGTGAAAAATTGCAACCGATAGAACGGAGTCAGGAAGGCCGCCGCGATGGTCGGAGAAACTAAGGACGGCCAGCTAGCTATGGGACCTTGTCTCGTTTGTGTGGCTACTGTACTGGAAGAAAGTGAAACTAGGGCCTTGCTTCGTGCGGTCGATTCACAGTAGAGTTGGTAATCGCGTTAGTGACGTGACTCAACATAAGTTGTAAATAAACGCAGGTACGAGTCAAAGTGTAACATTAGTAGAAGACCTACACCCCAATGTTAATATTGAAGACAGCATACTGTCAGGTCTGCGTTATAAGAAGCAATTACTGTGGAAATCTAATGAACAACGTATACCATGTACACTTTACAAGAGCTGGCCGCAGTCCTGAATAGTAACCTCCACTGACGTCTTGCCACTGTCGCTACCAACTGACTCCAGTTTGTCAACAACATCCATTCCTGTCGAGAACAAGATCCGAAAAAATGAGCGCTTAAAATCTTAAACGGAAATATGAGAAAAGAGCAAACTTCTACAGCTACCACTGTCAGCTCGCGGCCCTTCAACAACCACCACCCTCAAACAACTGTCCCCTCACTCAGTTGGACCCCCCACTTGCCTACCGCCTCAGTCACCCCCCCTCCCCTCCCCCCCCCCCCCCCCAATCCTCCCTCCCCCCCTCTCCCCTCCCTCCCCCTCTCCCTCCCCTTCCTCCTCCCCCCCTCCCTCCCCTTCCTCCTCCCCCCTCCCTATCACTCACCTGAAACCACCTTTCCAAAGACGACATGCTTGCCGTCTAGATGAGGCGTAGCAGTGAAGCAGATGAAGAACTGGCAGTCTGGGGGAGTGGGAGGAAGGGAGGGAGGGAGGGAGGGAGGGGGACGGAGGGGAAGGGGAGAAAAGAGGGTGGAAAGTGAGGTGGTAGCAACAATGCATGGCACAGGTGAGGCGTAGCAGTGAAGTAGATGAAGAACTGGCAGTCCGGGAGAGTGGGGAGGAAGGGAGGGAGGGGGAAGGGTGCGGGAAACGGGAGAAAAGAGGGTGGAAATGAGATGGTAGGGCCAACGAACAACCAACCCCTAAGCTGCAAACAATATCCCAAAGACGACGTGCATGCCATCCCAGTGGGGAGTCGCAGTGAAGCAGATGAAGAACTGGAAGTGCGAATGGGTGTGGCGGACGGGAGGAGGGGGAGAGAAGAGGGTGGACAAAACAAAACGAGCGAAGGACTTGCACTGTGACAGATCCACCACTGCTCCACTCACTATTTGTGTTGGGGCCGCGATTCGCCATGGAGAGAACGCCTCTGCCATTGTGCCTCAGCTCGAAGCTCTCGTCCGGAAACGGCTGGCCGAAAATGGAACTGCCGCAGTTGCCGCCCTGCCATGTGAAAGAAACAAGGGTGAACGATAATAACAAAAAAAAGTACGAAATAGAAAATCCGACACATAGAAGGTGGGGAAACGGGAGGGAAAAGGAACGTGGGTTTTTGTCAACCGAAAAGAGCAACGGGGGATGTGAGGGAGGGTAGTGACAACTAGGGTGAGGCCACAAACACGCATCGAATACCAGACCATTCGTGGAGCTCTAGAGAATGTACGGTGAGATGGTGAGATCTGATGCTTGTGCGGATGTGTAACGCAGTCTGCGTTTACCTGCGCAGTCGCCTACCCGCGATTCGACACCTACCTGCGGTTCGACGCGTACCTGCGCCATGAATCCGGGGATGATGCGGTGCAGCGTCAGGCCCTTATAGCCCAGCCCCTTAGGAGGCGCCTCAAAAAGCACCTATGTAACGCCTGTGGACTAAGAGTTAATGGGCATTCCGCTGCGCCAAATAACACCCTCGTTTTGACCCAGTGGGTAGCGAGGTGTTATACTGGTATCAGAGCCTAGGGTTCAAATCCTGACTAGTCCACATTTTCCGCCCGTGGCGAGAACTTGTATGTGGTTACCAGATTGAACCCAGCGAACGATCCTCCGCTGGCCTGGTCCACCAGCGAAGTCGCTGCTTGGAGCACAGCGAATAGGTCCCTGCAGGGGCCGACTCCCTGAAGTTAGTCAACGAGGACCTTGACACCAGGGGGGGAGTGTAACGCCTGTGGGCTAAGTGTTAATGGGCATTCCGCTGCGCCAAATAACACCCTCGTTTTGACCCAGTGGGTAGCGAGGTGTTATACCTACCTGAGGTTCGACCCCTACCTGAGGTTCGACACCTACCTGAGGTTCGACACCTACCTGAGGTTCGACACCTACCTGAGATTCGACACCTACCTGCAGTTCGACGCGTACCTGCGCCATAAATCCGGGGATGATGCGATGCAGCGTCAGGCCCTTATAGCCCAGCCCCGAGCTCATGCCGTTGCACAAGCCGACAAAGTTCTCCACCGTCTTCGGCGCCACGTCCGGCCGGAGCTCCACCTCGATTCTGCCGACAGGCTTCCCGTCGAACGCAATATCCAGGAAGCATCGCGGCCGTGCTGCGGAGCTCATCGTTGTAGACCCCTTGAAACCGAATACGACCGCTGAAAACTGTGTGAAACCGCTGCCGCTTGAAGTCTCGGCTCAAAACCCGGCGGCTTCGCTTCTGAAAGGTTCAAGCTCACTTCCGCGTTTGCGACACGACTGGCGGGTCTGAAATGGCGAAAGCCTTCGCGAAAACCGGAAACCGTGTGTCGTAACGGGCGAAATGCGGATGCGTGGAGGGCGAAAGTCTTCGGAATGGAGAGAGTGCAAGAGAGCGACGAGTGGTACAAACAAGAGGCGGAGAGGAGGCGACGACAAGACTAGACCAGATCTTAGGGCGCGTGTTTTTTGGTGTAGAGGTTCGACAATAAGGTCGACCTTACGCTGGTAACCTTGTTCGTTAATCTCGTACAGTCAAATTCGCACGCATCGTGTGTCCTCCCTGGTCAATGGGTGTGAAGTTGGAAAACAAACTTGGGTCGACCTCACGTTCAAACTTCGAAGGCAGGTAAGGCCAACCCTGTTTCCACACAAGCATGAACCTCGAGAATGCGAAATCCGCGACGCTCGCAAATCACATCTCGCGCATAAGCGACTTCAATCAGAGGATGTCAAGGTCGCTACATTCCTCGCGCTGTCAAGGCGTGAGAACCGGGTAACCTACGTTGGTTGAGCGCGGCTCGAATGTGGGTGTAGAAAGTCGATCCTCGAATGTGTGCCATGTGATGTTTGTGAAAGTTGGAAACGCGGCTCGAGCCCAAAAGTTGAGATACTCGAGTACAGGTCGACCTAGGTTCAAACCTAAAAAGTCGACTTAAAATCGTGAAATTTTGGCCAAAAACCAAAAGACACGCGCCCTTATAGAATGATTATGGCCGTACAACGAAAAATGCTTACGAGAGATATATTTTTGTCGCATTCGTTGAATGCCTTGCTCGCGGCATTCCCCATGCCAGCAAGCAACCAGGCGAGCTCCCATCAGATCTCAAGGTTGGCGAAGAATCTGGTTACAGAAATTCTGTTAGTTTTCCAGCAATAATAAATCCACCCTAAAGCCACGGACAAACAAAACCCGCACTGCCATTTGTTGAGACCAGCCTAGAAAAAAACGATATGAGGGGCATAGTAGTACCTCACATGTAATGTGTCTCACCCCAAGATGGTCAACCTAAAGAGCACTTTCAGAGTGCTTCATTCAGCCCTTCACCCAACGCATTCACAATCTAAGCACAAGCCAGAGTGTTTGTGAGAATTCTCAGAAACACCCAACAGAAAAGCCACAGAATGCCAGGCAAGCAGCAAGGAGAATCGCAGGATCAAATGGATGGAGTGAAACCTGCGCCAGCCATATTCCAGAGGCGCCTCAGCAGTTACGAATGCCCGCGATTCAGGCCTTACCCTGTTACTGTTACCGTACCTGCATACCGTTCCTGCTACTCATAGCCCGTGCGAACCAAACAAAGAAAGAGGTTCCTGGGTCATAATTGCTCCAGGTTATTTCAGAATTTCCTACCCTTAAATGCAATCCTGCTGCAGTCGCGGCTGCTGCAGCTGCCGATGCCACTGCAACGCCCACCCCCTCCTGGCCCCTGCAGCTGCTGCTGCTGCCTCTGATGCCGCTGCAGCTAACGCTGCTACCATCCCTGATTCTCTGACCAGCTCACAAGCTGCATCGGATCAACCACACAAAGCAACCTCCTCATGGGCACAAACACACCAAAGCTCGGCTTAACCTGCAGCCTGCACAGGGACTAGCCCCACTGCACTGCAGCTGCACACCTAAACAGCCTGGTTAAGGTACCAATAACCTCCTTTTGAGGTGCCTCAAAAGTCATCTACTGATACCGTAGGCACAAGCCAAGGCTCCTGCGGTTTGCACAGGGACTAGAACCACAGCAGCCTAGTTACAAGTAACCACAGCAGCTCCACGACAACCGCGAACTGGTTACAAGTAACCCCACCCCACCGCATCTACATTGAAAGCAGTTCAGAAGCGAGGAGAACCCCCCTGCTTGCATTGCAACTCCCTCTCCCTCGCCTCCTCCCTTCCTCCCAGCCCCCCTCACCCTCCTCCCTCCCACCCACCACCACTCACGACGCCTCCACCGGCATGCCCATTCTCATGTCCCGACCCTGCATCCACATCACCTGCCCACCACTCCCACCCCCAGAGTGCACAGCAGAGCAGCACACGCCAACCACATTCCCCAGCAACTTCTCTCCTCTCCTCGCACCACTCACGTTGCCTTCACCGACATGCCCACTCTCAGATCTCTACCCTGCATCGACAACACCTGCCCACCGCCACCCCCAGAGTCCCTCCCCAGCCCCTTCTCCTCCCACCCCTCACAATGCTTCCACGGACATGCTTCGACCAGCGTCCCCATACATGGGCGAGCGCGCAGCAGCCTCCTCCTCCAGTCGTCTCCATGCGTGCTCCCTGCTCGCCTGCACCTCCCTCTCCCGCGCCTCCTCCCACCCTCAAAGCCCTCCTCACCCTCCCAGCCCTCCCCACCCTCCCAGCCTTCCTCCCTCCCTCCCCTCCTCCCCCCCTTCCTGCCTCCCACCCCTCACGACGCCTCCACCGACATGCCCATTCTCATGTCTCGAGTCCGGCCCTGCATCGCCACCTGCCCTCCACCACCAGCGTCCCCATACATGGGCGAGCGCGCAGCAGCCTCCTCCTCCAGTCGTCTCCACGCGTGCTCCCTGCTCGCCTGCACGTCCCTCTCCCTCGCCTCCTCCTCCAGAAACTGCCTCTGGCAGTCCTCGTAGAGCGCTTGATCCATCTCCAGAAACATCTTGCGCACGTTGATGGTCAGCCCGTTCACCGCCTGACAAGGGCAACGGGGAGACGGAAGAGGAGAGATTGAGAAGAGGGAGAGAGTTATGACTGCTCCCTACCCGTCCGCAAGCTCCCTGCTCGCCTGCACGCCCCTCTCCCGCGCCTCCTCCTCCAGAAACTGCCTCTGGCAATCCTCGTAGAGCGCCTGGTCCATCTCCAGAAACATCTTGCGCACGTTGATGGTCAGCCCGTTCACCGCCTGACGAGCAATGGGAGGGTTGGGAGAGAAGGAGAGAGTTATGTGTGCTCCATCCATCCATGCGTGCTGTGCTGTGCTGTGCTACCTGCTCGCCTGCACGCCCCTCTCCCACGCCTCCTCCTCCAGAAACTGCCCGTTAACAACCTGCAGGTGGGAGCAGAAAGGAGGGGAGAAACATCAGTCGCTGGTTGCAACTACTGCCTCTGGCAGTCCTCATAGAGCGCCTGGTCCATCTCCTGAAACATCTTGCGCACATTGATAGTTAGGCCGTTCACCGCCTGGTGGGTAGGGGGGGACGAGGGGAAATGGGGCCATGCGGGGGAGTCACTTTTGAGAATTCTCAAAAGGGTAGACCGTAGAGTGCTTGCGCTGCACCTGAGCAGTGGAGCAACCATTTTTTTTATCGTCATTCCATTGCCCCCTTCTTGTCGAGGTTGATTCTGAGAAATTTCAGATTTTGTTTAGGTTTAATTTTGAGAATTCTCAAAATCAACCACAGCTTTATTAACGTCATTCCATTGCCCTCTTCTCAAATTCATTGCACCCCCCCCCCCCAACCTCATCCCACCTCCGCTCACGATTCTCCGCACCTCAGTTGCGCCCCCTCGTCCCTCCCCCCTCGTCCCTCCCCCTCGTCCCTCCCCCTCGTCCCTCCCCCCTCGTCCCTCCCCCCTCGTCCCTCCCCCCTCGTCCCTCCCCCTCGTCCCTCCCCCTCGTCCCTCCCCCCTCGTCCCTCCCCCCTCGTCCCTCCCCCCTCGTCCCTCCCCCCTCGTCCCTCCCCCTCGTCCCTCCCCCCCCCCCCCCTCGTCCCTCCCCCCTCGTCCCTCCCCCTCGTCCCTCCCCCCTCGTCCCTCCCCCTCGTCCCTCCCCCTCGTCCCTCCCCCTCGTCCCTCCCCCCTCGTCCCCCCCCCTCGTCCCTCCCCCCTCGTCCCTCCCCCTCGTCCCTCCCCCCTCGTCCCTCCCCCTCGTCCCTCCCCCTCGTCCCTCCCCCTCGTCCCTCCCCCCTCGTCCCTCCCCCTCGTCCCTCCCCCTCGTCCCTCCCCCCTCGTCCCTCCCCCCTCGTCCCTCCCCCTCGTCCCTCCCCCCTCGTCCCTCCCCCTCGTCCCTCCCCCTCGTCCCTCCCCCTCGTCCCTCCCCCCTCGTCCCTCCCCCCTCGTCCCTCCCCCTCGTCCCTCCCCCCTCGTCCCTCCCCCTCGTCCCTCCCCCTCGTCCCTCCCCCTCGTCCCTCCCCCCTCGTCCCTCCCCCCTCGTCCCCCCCCCTCGTCCCTCCCCCTCGTCCCTCCCCCTCGTCCCTCCCCCTCGTCCCTCCCCCTCGTCCCTCCCCCTCGTCCCTCCCCCCTCGTCCCTCCCCCTCGTCCCTCCCCCTCGTCCCTCCCCCCTCGTCCCTCCCCCCTCGTCCCTCCCCCTCGTCCCTCCCCCCTCGTCCCTCCCCCTCGTCCCTCCCCCCTCGTCCCTCCCCCTCGTCCCTCCCCCCTCGTCCCTCCCCCCTCGTCCCTCCCCCCTCGTCCCTCCCCCCTCGTCCCTCCCCCCTCGTCCCTCCCCCCTCGTCCCTCCCCCCTCGTCCCTCCCCCCTCGTCCCTCCCCCCTCGTCCCTCCCCCCTCGTCCCTCCCCCCTCGTCCCTCCCCCCTCGTCCCTCCCCCCTCGTCCCTCCCCCCTCGTCCCTCCCCCTCGTCCCTCCCCCTCGTCCCTCCCCCTCGTCCCTCCCCCTCGTCCCTCCCCCTCGTCCCCCCTCCCCCCCCCTCGTCCCTCCCCCCTCGTCCCTCCCCCCTCGTCCCTCCCCCCTCGTCCCTCCCCCCTCGTCCCTCCCCCCTCCCCTCCCCTCCCACATGGTCCTTTTGGCTTCACGCGTTCCTCCCCAAAGGCCCAAATATCAGCGGCAGCACAGCAGCTCGGTTCTACCTTCTTCTCTCTCCACCCACACCCACTCCCCTCCACCGCTGCTCTCTCCTCCCCACCCATTCCCTTCCCACGCCTGCTCTCCCCTCCCCTCACACTCTATTCCTGCACTTCCCCTCCCCCCTCACCTGGTTCCACTGGCTCCTCGAATTTCTCTCCAGTGCCCCTGAATACCAACAGCAGAGCCTCTTTTCTGCCTGCCCATCGCTCTCCACTCCTGCAACCAGCCTTCCAACTCCCCAACCCGTTCCCCCCTCCCCTCTCACCTGGTTCCACTGGCTCCTCGAATTTCTCTCCAGTGCCCTGAATACCAACAGCAGAGCAGAGCCTCTTTTCTGCCTGCCCACCGCTCTCCACTCCTGCAACCACCCCTGTTTTCTCCTTGTACCTTCCAACTCCCCATCCCGTTCCCCCCTCCCCCCTCACCTGGTTCCAGCGGCTCCTCCTCGCGTTCCTCTCCAGGGCTCCGAGTTTCAGCGGCAGCACGGCCATATTGGTGTTACTATTGAGAATTCTGCTGCTGCCTCAACCCCCTCGACCTATCCCTGCCCTCTGCCCAACTTCCCCCCTTCATCTGGTTGCAGTGGCTCCTCGCGTTCCTCTCCAGGGCTCCGAATATCAGCGGCAGCACGGCGGCTACTGTCCCTTCTCTCCGCTTCCCCCCACCCACCCCCCTGTAACCCCCCCCTCCCCCCCCCTCACCTGGTTCCAGTGGCTGCGAGCATCGTGTGATGAGGTTGTTTTTGAGACGTCTCAAAAACAACCTCATCACACGTGCCCCTCCCTCCCCCCCTCTCACCTGGTTCCAGTGGCTGCGAGCATTCCGCTCCAGAGCGCCAAAGAACAGCGGCGGCAACACGGCAGCACAGCAGTTCCTTTCTGTTCTATCCCTCAACCCCCCCGTACCTCTCCTGTACCCTTCTCCTCCCTCACCTGGTTCCAGTGGCTGCGAGCATTCCTCTCCAGAGCGCCAAAGAACAGCGGCGGCAACACGGCAGCACAGCAGTTCCTTTCTGTTCTATCCCTCAACCCCCCCGTACCTCTCCTGTACCCTTCTCCCCCCTCACCTGGTTCCAGTGGCTGCGAGCATTCCTCTCCAGAGCGCCAAAGAACAGCGGCGGCAACACGGCAGCACAGCAGTTCCTTTCTGTTCTATCCCTCAACCCCCCCGTACCTCTCCTGTACCCTTCTCCCCCCTCACCTGGTTCCAGTGGCTGCGAGCATTCCTCTCCAGAGCGCCAAAGAACAGCGGCGGCAACACGGCAGCACAGCAGTTCCTTTCTGTTCTATCCCTCAACCCCCCCGTACCTCTCCTGTACCCTTCTCCCCCCTCACCTGGTTCCAGTGGCTGCGAGCATTCCTCTCCAGAGCGCCAAATATCAGCGGCAGCACGGCAGCGCGGTTCTGAGCCACGAGGCTGACAATGTAGTCGTTGTTCCACAGGAACAGAGTGCGCTCGGCCACCTGGTAGGCAGGGGAGGGTGCCCCAAGGGGAGTGTGCAGGGTTGGGGTGGGGAGGGGAGATGGGAAAAAGGGTTGTGTTCTGCGCCACGAGGCTGACAATGTAGTCGTTTTTCCACAGGAACAGAGTGCGCTCGGCCACCTGGTAGGCAGGGGAGGGTGCCCCAAGGGGCGTGTGCAGGGTTGGGGTGGGGAGGGGAGATGGGAAAAAGGGTTGTGTTCTGAGCCACGAGGCTGACAATGTAGTCGTTGTTCCACAGGAACAGAGTGCGCTCGGCCACCTGGTAGGCAGGGGAGGGTGCCCCAAGGGGCGTGTGCAGGGTTGGGGTGGGGAGGGGAGATGGGAAAAAGGGTTGTGTTCTGAGCCACGAGGCTGACAATGTAGTCGTTGTTCCACAGGAACAGAGTGCGCTCGGCCACCTTGTAGGCAGGGGAGGGTGCCCCAAGGGGCGTGTGCAGGGTTGGGGTGGGGAGGGGAGATGGGAAAAAGGGTTGTGTTCTGCGCCACGAGGCTGACAATGTAGTCGTTGTTCCACAGGAACAGAGTGCGCTCGGCCACCTGGTAGGCAGGGGAGGGTGCCCCAAGGGGCGTGTGCAGGGTTGGGGTGGGGAGGGGAGATGGGAAAAAGGGTTGTGTTCTGCGCCACGAGGCTGACAATGTAGTCGTTTTTCCACAGGAACAGGGTGCGCTCGGCCACCTAATGCGTGTGGGGGAAGAGGTGTGCATGGGCGGGGGGAGTAAGAGCGATGAAGTGGCATGTGTGTGATCCGTTGAGGAAGCACGGCAGCTCGGTTCTGTGCCACGAGGCTGACAATGTAGTCGCTGTTCCACAGGAACAGGGTGCGCTCGGCCACCTAATGGGCAGGGGAGAGAGGGGAGCGGGGTTGGGGGCGTGTTGGGGAAGGGGTAGGTGGTGGAGGAAACAGATTGACTCTACCACCTACCCCTTCCCCAGCACGCAGCACAGCAGCTCGGTTCTGTGCCACGAGGCTCACGGTGTAATTGTTTTTCCACAGGAACAGGGTGAGCTTCGCCACCTGGTAGGTAGGGCAGAGAGGGGAGGGAGGGCCTGCCTATGTGTGTGTGCCATGCCATGCCCTAAGTGTGTGTGCCATGCCATGCCCTATGTGTGTGTGCCATGCCATGCCCTATGTGTGTGTGCCAGGCCCTATGTGTGCGTGGCGTGACATGTTGACGTGTGTCATGTCACGGCATCAGAGCTGATGGGGTCAGGGGATAGGACTATTGGGAGGACTATTGAGTACCTGGGGTCAGGGGCGTCACGGCCTGATGACTACCTGATAGCCACCTGACAGCAACCTGATAGCCACCTGATAGCCACCTGACAACCACCTGATAGCCACCTGACAACTACCTGATAGCCATCTGACAACCACCTGATAGCCACCTGACAGCCACCTGACAACGACTTCAATTTCTGAAAACAGAGATATTTTCTATTCACGTTCGAAATCACTGTCCGTTTTCCGATTGTTTCCCCATTTTCACCATCTTTGGCCACGCCCCACACCCCGTTATCTCTTATTTTTTCTCCTCTCCAGGTTTTAGCTGTTAAGGCTCCCTTATTTTCAGTGTCACACCTCCTACCCGACCTCCCCCCCCCCCCCCCCCCTCTTCTCCCCCCATCCCCCGTCCCCCTCCCTCGCATCTTTTTAAGACAGCGGTTTTTTTTTTTTAACAACCCTCACATTTTTTCTTCCCCTCCCCTCTCCCGAGTTGCCTTAGCCCTTCTGAAGTGCGAGCTCTTGACGCCCCTCCCCTCCCCTCCCCTCCCCTCCCCTCCCCTCCCCTCCCCTCCCCTCCCCTCCCCTCCCCTCCCCTCCCCTCCCCTCCCCTCCCCTCCCCTCCCCTCCCCTCCCCTCTCCTCCCGTTAACCCCTTTCCGCTCACACATGCTCACCTGGAATTGAGAGCAGCTAAAACGTCTCTCACTCACACCCCCTTTCCACCTCTTCCTCCCTCCCCACATTCCACCAACTCACCTGCAAGTGCGAATTACTCAGGCAGCGAGCGACTGGGAGCGGAGGAAGAGCGCTGCTGAGCAAGCAAACTGCACGCCTTTCTCTTACGCTTCTTACCGCTCTCACCTTCCTCGACATACACACACAAACGTCATTTTCTCTTCTCTCGCTGATCACCCAAAAGTGCAAGTTGCTACCCCACCGCGTGCAAATCGGCCTCAACTCCCACTTTCCCCCTCCCCTCTACGCCCCCTCCCCCATTCTTGCCATATCCGCCTTCCCTCCCCTTATCCCCGCCGCTTCCCTCCACCCCCACCTACTCCCCCCTCTGCACACACCTGGTCTCCCCTTCCCCGCCGTCTCACCCGGAAATGATGCATCTTCCCCAGTCCTCCCAGTTCGATTTCTTGTTTGTTTGACTTTTTTTACGTATATATAACTAAAAATCTCCTCCCCCACACTGTCACGGAGGCAATTTTCGCAAAACATGAAATAATATGCAAAATCCAGACTCAGAGCGAAATGGCTGCAAAATCCTAAAAGAAAAAGCTTCACCTGGAAGTGAAGAATCCCCCCGTCGTCCCCCCTCCCCACACCTTGTGGAGTCACCTGAAAATGCGAGGTGTCGAGGCAGCGTGCGATGCGGTGCGGAGGAACAGAGCGAGCTGAATTTCTCTTCCATTCTCCAACCCTCCCCGCCTTTTCCAACACACCTCCCTCCTTTCATTTGCGTTTTTCTATTCTCACCTGGAAGTGCGAGCTGTAGAGGCAGCGCGCGCGATGCAGAGAAACAACGCGACGAGTTGCACTTTTTACTTCCCTACTCCTCCCCTTTCCCACTTTCATCCCCCCCCTCCCCCCCCCCTCCCCCCCCCCACCCGCCCCCCAATTCTTCCCCACAAGCACACCCTGCTTTGTGTGCCTCCCCTCGTGGCTCACCTGGAAATGAGAGCTGTTGAGGCAGCGCGCGATGCGGAGGAACAGCGGCGCGACGACCTGCTGGAACTCCGCGCCCTGCGTGAGCTCCAGAATCTCCTCCAACTCTCCCAGAAACAGCACCTCCTTCTGGCTGTTAGTTAAGGGCCAGTACTTAAGCAGCCCGCGTAGCACCACGTCAGCAAGCGACGGATCCTTTTCGACAAATTGCGTGATGCAGTACGACAGCTGCTGGTGATATATCGACACGCACTTAGGCTTGTGCAGCGGGATTAACGCGCGGACCAGGAACAGCTTATGCTCCTCTTTAAGAGGCAGCGCGAACCCGTTGATTATGCTTCCGAGGATCTCTAACAACTCCGCGATCCCGTTGTGCCGCTCCGTCTCGTAGATAAAACGGTAGAAGATGTAGTTAATCGACTTGCGGATAAACGGCCGGTGAACCATGAACTTGCCGTATATCCGGTGCAGAATCGTCTTTAAATAGTCGCGCTCGCGCGGATCCTCGGAGTTGAACAAATCTAGCAGCTTCAGCACGAACGGCTGGTCCAGGTACCGTTTCGCCACCTTAGCGTCAGTCTCGTTACTAACTACGAAGCGCAGCAGGAACTCGTACACGATCTGCAAATGCGGCCACGCGAGCTCCATGTTCGGCTCCTCTTCCTCCGGATCGAATCCCTCCGACCCCGTGTTCTCGTGCGCGGACGGGGGAAGCGCGCGGAACAGATTCGCGCGGAGCATCCGCACGATGTCTTCGAAAACAGCCTCGCTGAACTTCCCCGTGCCGGAATTAACATACTCCACTAGTTCTAGGAGCGTCTGCCGCTTAATCTCCTTCTCCTTCATGTTCTTAAGCGGGTCCGCGAAGTCGAACGTGTGGCAGCAGAGCGCGAGCTTGCGGATGAACAGGGCCTGCTTTTCCGGAGCCGCCACGTCCCGGAAAAGCGGGAGCGGTTCGGCAAACGGGTTCGGATTCGTTACAACAGGACTCGCTACAGCGTCTGACTTGTCCTTGTTGAAGCTGCTCGTTCGGAGCGCCGCGCCAGCGACAGGCGCGGCGCCTTTCGCGGCATTGCCCCCCGGAGCCTTTCCCCCTGAAGCACTCCGGGACGCTGGTCCCCCGGCGGGTCCGGCGGGCGGCGGCGCGTGACCGTGGTGCTGGGCGGCACCGGAGGCGCTATCGTGGTGTTCGGCTTTACTTCCTGTTTTTTTCCGACCCCCCGCGAACGTTTTCTTAACGGATTGCAGCATTGCTATGTGATTAGAAAGGGGACGGAGCGAAGGGGTTGGGAGGGGGAGGAGGAATGGGTTGTGCTAGCGAAGTCCCCGTTGCTTCACATCTACTAAGTTTGGGCTAACGAGCGTAGGAGAGTGACTAAATTGAATCGGAAAAGACGGGCGTGACTAAAGCCGACGACAGCGCACAGCAGACAATGAAAGCGTACGTCAGTGTAATGAATCAGTTGGGAGGAACCCTAAAAACAGTCGCGGCCTGACAAGAAGTCGTGACGACAAACTAACAGAAATAGCCCGACACTGGGCGAGTTAGGTCGCAACCCTAAGAATGCGACCCAACGCGGGTTCGCAATGACTCCGTGACTACCTACGGGTACCGTCGTATGCACCGTACTGAATTATGTACGGAGTGACCACTTAGGTCACTACGCCGCAGTCGAGAGTCCACTAATTAGGTAAGGCGACGCCAATATAAATGCTGCAAATCCAACGGCGGAGATGGAGGGTCTGTGAGGGGTGGAGGTGGAGAGGGGGAGCGGGGAGCTTGTGAAGGGCAGACCAGATGAGCGGGAAAGTACCTTCACCCTGGGGAATGCCGCGATGAGGCGCACTACTTGCGGAATGCGCGGACTTCAGGACAAGACCAGGAGTTTGGCGCGGCGGAATCGCGTGCAAATCGAGGGTAGACTGGTTCGTGCAAGTGCGGGGAAGATTGGTTGGGGGAAACGAGGGAAGGGGTTGGTGGGGGGACGTATGGTGGAGAGGGTTTCAGCGTGGTGAGCAACTCTGTTATGCTAAGGTGTGCGCGGGTGTGCTTGCGCAGGGCTCCCCCGCATGTGGCTGGTTGTTTGCGCTGCGCGTATGCGCACAATGTTGGTGGGATGATAAGGGGGAGGCGGAGCGACACACGCGGTCTGTTCTTCACATACAGTTTGTGAGAGATGATCCGTTAAAGAGTGTATGCATACAAGTACACGATGTACGTGAAGTAAGCGTAATCTGAAACTTAGGGTAGCAAGATACAAGGAAGCACGCCGCATTCCCGGATTACTTCCTTCGTCTTCGTTCTCCCTCGCCGAACTTCCCGTGCTTGTCTAATTCTTTTTCTTGATGTTTTGAACCGAAACGCACCAAGCAAAACCGTGGTACGTGGATTGAAAAGCAAGTTTGACCATGCGGCACCCCCTCTAGGGATGTCGGCAATGTGACGTACTGGTTCAGTGAGCTACCTTACGATTCGCAACGTTTCTAAACGTTTTGGTAGCGTGACGAACAATAAAAACACACTCCTTATCTGATGACAGCCATGGTGCTGTCAGAGAACACATCGCAAATAACCGTTACAAAACGCTCGAAAGCATACGCGAACCGCTCGCCGAGTTTGTCGAAGTGTGCATGCAGGCTGGTCCCAAAAGCTCGTCAACTGTTCATCTAGTGCAAGGCTAGTTGGTACTAGCGACTCAAAGTGGTGAAACACCGAAAACCGCTTTGGATTGTACATTATCGTTGCCAACCGATTGTGTTGAGCAGAAAGGGGAAACCTTAGGGACCAGTCCTTCACATGACGTCTGTCTGACCATGTGCGCGAGCAGGTCTAGTCTACTTGACTATGCTGCTCCTGGACATGGTGTACACCATTTCGGTCAAGAGTGGTGAATCAGACCAGCATATGCAGTCCTCGGAACTTGTTCGTACATGAGCCTTTTAGACATTCTTTCTCACTCTTCTCGTGTCCCTTCCCTCTCCGCTGGCGAATTCTCGACTATTTGGTACAACCCCGTTGCCACATAAAGCTTTTCCTTCTAACACACATCAAACGCCATGGCGCATGTGGAAAAGTGAACTCATTACAATCTGAAGCCCTATCGGCCAGCGACTCGGCACCATGCCGCCTTCTTTCGAGTCGACGCAACGGCTACCTCGCGCATTGCTACCGATGATCGAGTCCGCGCAAAGGTTACGCGCCGTGTTGTTACCGCGTAACATTCATCGCGCCATCTCGTCGATCTACAACGCCAAGCGCGTTCCGCGGCTGTCGGGGGTCTTTCTGATCGCACTCGTTTCCTTAGTTTCCTTAATCTCCTTCTCGCTCTGGCAATCCAAGTGCTGCCGCTGCCTACATGGCAGCCGAGAGCAAAACCGCAGGAGAGGAATCAGCATCAGCGACAGCAGCGGCGGCGGGAGCAGCAGCAGCGACGGCGGCAGGGTTGGGTCCGATGGCTCAGGAGACATAGTTATCAGTAGCAACGTCGCGTCGGGTCGCGCGCTGCGTAATTCCACAACCGACGATGATCGACGGCCGTTCATCTACGTGTACGATCTGGGCCCGGCTTACACGGACAAGATCCTACAGCTGGAGCCCGCGTGGTACTCGCACCAGTACGATGTTGAGAAGCACATGACGGAGCTGCTTATAGCGAGTAACGCGGTGCGCACCGTGGATCCGTACGAAGCGTCGCTCTTCTTCGTGCCGTTCTTCTCGGCGCGACTCACGCTGTACCATTTCAAGGACTGGGAGAACAACATGCGCGGCGCCGTGGAAGAGGCATCCAAGGTGAGCGCGTGAGGGGGGGCGAGGGGGGGCGAGGGGAGGGAGGGGAGGGAGGGGAGGAGCGGGGGGAACGGTGGAAGTGGGAACGGCTGGAACGGAAGGAGTGGGGCGTTTTGGGTAAAGGGTTGAGCGAGGGATAGGGGGGAGCAGGGGAAAGGGGGGAGCGGGGGAAAGGGGGGAGCGGGAGAAAGAGGGGAGCGGGGGAAAGGGGGAAGCGGGAGAAAAGGGGGAGCGGGGGAAATGGGGGAGCGGGGAAATGGGGGAGTGGACGAAATGGGGGAGCGGGGGAAAGGGGGGATCGGGGGAAGTGGGGGAGCGGGGGAAACGGGGGCTCGGGGGAAATGGGGGAGCGGGGAATGGGGAGCGGGGGAAAGGGGGGAGCGGGGGAAAGGGGGGAGCGGGGGGAAATGGGTGAGCTGGGGAAATGGGAGAGCCCCGTGCCCCTCAACCCAATCCCCACGGGCTTGGCTCTGCAGGTGTGGACGGAAATCCTCACATCATGTTTTTGAAATCATTGAACCTCTTGAGACGTCTCAAAAGCCCCTGTTGGCTTGGCTCTGCAGGTGTGGACGGAAATCCTCTCAACAGTGCGGCGGAACTATCCCTTCTTCAACCGCACCAACGGCCGAGATCACTTCAGCATCCTCACGCTCGATCACGGCCGTTGCCACTCGCTCACGTTCGTGGACCCGGGCCTCGTGGGCGAGATGTTCTTTGTGACTTATAACGGGGACAAACTCGTTAGGAGCGTGCACGCGAGCAAGGAGCGCAACATGCAGGTGAGAGCAACACGCAGGTGAGAGCAACACGCAGGTGAGAGCAGTGAAGCCAGTCTTTCCCCCACCCCCACCCCACCCCACCCCACCCCTCCCTGTTGCACCAACCCCCACTCCATTCCATACCCCCTCTGCTTCCACCCCCCGCCCCCCGCGTCCCTTGCCATGTGTTGGGGGAATGGGGCCTCACCTCCCTGTCCTCCTTATCCCCTCCCCTTTCTCCCCTCCTCACCCCCTCCTCTTCCTCCCCTCCCTAACCCCTCGCGGGCCACCCAATCCTCCCAACCCCTCCCGGTCCCTTCTGACCCCTCCCGATCCATCCCGACCCCTCCCGACCCCGCCTGATCCCTCCCTCCCAACACCTCTCCATGTGACATTATCATGCCCGTGCTCGTCTCTCCCTCCCCTTCCGCTTCCTCCCATTCCCCCTTCTTCCCCCCAAGCCCTAACATTCAACTTCAGGATCCCCGTCGGTCTCTTTCTGCTGGCATGGTCATGTGTATAAAGTGAATTTTTGAGACCTCTCAAGGGGCTCCCAAAAATTCACTTTATACACGTCGCATGGTCATGCCCGTGTGGGTTCGCCTCAAGGGGCTGCCACTGGTTTTTGAGACGTGTCAAAAGTCGTGCCCGTGCTCGTTCCCCCCTCCCCTTCCCCACCCTTTCCCCTTGGGCCATCACATACAATACAACTACAAGATTCCCGTCGATCCCTCTCTACCCACCATCCCCCCACCCTCCGTCTCCCCACCAGGCCATCACCTATAATTACAGGATCCCTGTCTACCCGTCTCTCCCCGACATCCCCTGCTACCTGCCGGATCGAGACATTGTCGTGCCCGTGCTCGTGTCCAAGGGGCTGCCGCTGGTAGCGCCGTGGGAGGGCGAGAGGGACCACGCTGTGCTGTTCCGGTTTGGAGCAGGGCAGCACCATGGGGTGCCGATATGGCACCACGGGCATCAGATTAGGAAGGAGTTGCTGGAGGTGAGGTGGGGTTAAGATGGGTTGGAGGTGTCCTGAGTTCCTCCCTCCTGGTGGCGCCGTGGGAGGGCGGGAGGGACCGTGCTGTGCTTTTCCGGTTTGGAGCAGGGCAGCACCACGGGGTGCCGATATGGCACCACGGGCACCAGATTCGCAAGGAGTTGCTGGAGGTGAGATGCGGTTGAGCTAGGTTGAGCTGGGTTGAAGGTGTCCTGAGTTCCTCTTTGCTGGTTTACCCGTGGGAGGGCGGGAGGCACCGCACTGTGCTGTTCTGGTTTGGCGCAGGGCAGCACCACGGAGTGCCGATATGGCACCACGGGCATCAGATTAGGAAGGAGTTGCTGGAGGTGAGGTGGGGTTAAGATGGGTTGGAGGTATCCTGAGTTCCTCCCTCCTGGTGGCGCTGTGGGAGGGCGGGAGGGACCGCGCTGTGCTGTTCCGGTTTGGCGCAGGGCAGCACCATGGGGTGCGGATATGGCATCACGGGCACCAGATGGAGGTGAGATGCGTTGGGGTTGATTTGAACTGAAGGTGAGCTGGGTCCTTCCTTCCCTTCCTGACTTTCTCATGGGAAGGCGAGAGCGACTGCACTTCACCTTCCCGCACGTACAGCATAGCCGTGATATGAGGCGACTTAAAACATTCCCGCACTTAGAGGGAAGCCAGGGAGACGGACCGCGCTGTGCTGTTCCAGTTTGGCGCAGGGCAGCACCATGGGGTGCGGATATGGCATCACGGGCACCAGATGGAGGTGACATGCGTTGGGGTTGATTTGAACTGAAGGTGAGCTGGGTCCTTCCTTCCCTTCCTGACTTTCTCATGGGAAGGCGAGAGCGACTGCACTTCACCTTCCCGCACGTACAGCATAGCCGTGATATGAGGCGACTTAAAACATTCCCGCACTTAGAGGGAAGCCAGGGAGACGGACCGCGCTGTGCTGTTCCAGTTTGGCGCAGGGCAGCACCATGGGGTGCGGATATGGCATCACGGGCACCAGATGGAGGTGAGATGCGTTGGGGTTGATTTGAACTGAAGGTGAGCTGGGTCCTTCCTTCCCTTCCTGACTTTCTCATGGGAAGGCGAGAGCGACTGCACTTCACCTTCCCGCACGTACAGCATAGCCGTGATATGAGGCGACTTAAAACATTCCCGCACTTAGAGGGAAGCCAGGGAGACGGACCGCGCTGTGCTGTTCCGGTGAGTTGGAGGTGAAATGGGGTTGCACTGAGGTGAAATGGGGTTGCACTGAGGTGAAATGGGGTTGCACTGAGGTGAAATGGGGTTGCACTGAGGTGAGGTGGAAAAGTGGGTGGGGACTTGCAGGGGACGAAGAGTGGGAGGGACGCATCCTGACTGGAAGCTGGAGGCATGCCAGCCTGCCTGGTTGCTTGCGCTTGCCTCCCCTTCCTTTTTCTTCTCTCCATTCTCCCCAACCCCTCCCTCCCCTTCCTTCCCCGTGGTTCAGCTGTACAAGCATGCGGGGCACGAGGGGTGGGACTTTGCAGAGAAGGGCGAGGCAGACACGGATCCTGATTGGCGGAGAGCAGTCTTTTGCATCTGCCCGCCCGGCCACTCCCAGTGGACCAGCCGCCCCTTCAAGGTGCGAGTTGCTGCAGGAAAAGTAACCCAACCCAACCGTACAGATTAATTGAGAAGTCTCTTTCGAGTTTCTCAAGGCGGCGGAGAGTGCGACAAGCCAGGAGCGGCAGAAGAGTGAGTTCTGCCTCTGCCCTCCAGGGCCACTCCCAGTGGACCAGCCGCCCCTTCAAGGTGGGAATGGCTACAGTGGTAAATCGCTTCAGTAGTACACTGAGTCTCAACAGTTACAACTTTTTTTTCTCTCAGCTGTCAGTTTACAACTTTTAAGAAAATTTCTCTGGTTGGCTGTGATGTCTTTTTGTGTTGTTTTCTTAATCTTGATTTTATTCCTCTTTTTTTTCGTTTGTCCATGTACAGGCGTTGATATCTGGGTGTATCCCGGTGACTTTCTTCCGGGAGCATGACAACCCGTGGCAGGACGAACTAGAATACTCCTCCTTCTCCATTAACATCGACCCAGACAACATCTGGCAGCTCAAGGAACGCATCGACGCAGTCAGGAACCAGCCGGAGCTTCTGCAGAGGATGCAGAAGAATGTTGTTCGGGTGCAGGTGGGTTTTGGGTTCGTCGTGGGTTTACTTGATGTGTTTTTGCGGCAATTGCGGTCTTGTGATGCGAGCAGTGTCAAAGGATGTAAGCATGAGTTCGTGTAGTGCTTTATGGGGGGTTTATAGCAGAAATGAAATGCATCATTATATCTTTCTGTTCTTTGAAATGTCCCCCACATGCAGGAATTGTTTCGTTGGACAGGGGCCCTTGATAGGTCGGCAGAGTCCATGCTTATCGGCCGGCTACGAAAACGAGCAGCTGACCTTCGACCATTTCAATTGCAAATGGCCAGAGAAAGAGGAATAGACGAGAAGCTTCGCATGACTGTTCTCTAGAATAAGGGCATTTTTCTTTTTCAATTTGCAAAATAATGAGAGTTGTTTTCTATGTTCAAATGATTATTCGAAAGTGTATCTAGCGTAACACAATTATTAGCTAGGAATTGAAATTGCAACTCAGGAAAAATTGCACATGTATGAGCTGGCGGAAGAATTGTCTGGGGGAGCGTCAGGTGCTGCTGGTTGGTGTTTGTCCGGCATAGCATGGGCGCCCTATCCTGCGTTGGCGGTTGTGCTTTTGGAAAGTTCGAAACTGTTTGTCGTGCTTTGGACTGGGGCGGGGCGAGTGGTGTAGCGTTGTGCGGTACGGTTGTGGTGGACGCGGTGGTGGTAGTCGATACTGTAGTTGCGCTACAAAAGCCAGCTGGTGGTTCGGTTGTCACGTTTACCGTCATGTTCCTCAATCCTCGTCTCGTTCCTCTCGTCATCGCCGTGGATGCAATATTTTCGAGATCGTTCGATTACTGTTTTTGTCCGCATCGCACTGTTTCTTTCCAAGACCGTACGCGCCCAATCCAGCTACTGTACGCTTCACAGTTTTCTTTGGGAGTGGCAGGCAGCCAGCGTGAATCCCATGGTCGCCATGACGACGCCCGCACTGCCACTGGCGTAGCTGAACAGTCCCATGACGTCAGAAGGTCCGTGATTCGTGAATCACTTGCCCAGAAACCAGGGAAGCTTTGAAGCTTCGGTTGACGTGGCAGAGCCTCGCTGTGTAACCGAACCGAATCAAGAGGAAAGGTTTGTAACTGGACCAAGCGGACCAAACTGCTAAGTTTGCAACTTTCAACCACACCTCCACGTTTGGTAAGGAACATGCTTCGTCGTTGACCTGATGAAGCAACAAAGCTTTTCACAAAGTGGATAGAGAGGTCTGGAATCCGTTTGTGTAGGGCGGGAAGAGGTTAAAAAAGAGGCAAACTGGTGTGTTGTGCAGTCCCAAAAAGACTCGGACAGAGAGGTTAGGAGGTTGGTGGCTGTGCGTATTTGACGCAAACGAAGCTAAATTATTTTTCACTAGGGCACGTGGGAGTTTCGGTGCTATCGCGACTCGCTTTACTGGGCTCCAAAATTTATAGCGGCGTCCATTCCCGCCTTAGTCGGGTCCTACTGAGCACCAGCTGCCTCTCTTCTTTGTATTTAAAGCGAGAGTGCGAGTCTTTGCTGTGCACTGAAGTGACTTTCGAGTCGACTCAGAAGTCGGATCGCTTCTGAAGTTCCTCACAAAGCGTGTCGCAGATACCTGACTATCGCCGCGCTCCCTTTTCGTCAACCCTCGTCTCGTCTCGCCTCTCGCGTCCGCCCCGTCGCCTGTCGCCGTCGCACACCGCACGTCGCACGTCGCACGTCGCGCGTCGCGCGTTTCATCTCCTCCGTTTCCTTCGACCCTCTCCCTCTCCGAGCCGCTTCACAAGCTTCATACGAGAGTATGAATGTTCCTCGGAATCGCACATTCCTACTCCAAGCTCAGCCTCCCCTCCATGATGCTCCCGCCCGGTCTTTCCAAAAAAATCACCCCCGCGATGGCAATGCCGCGATTAAATTCACTTATTAAGCTTGCAGCCCTCGTTTTGTGCACCGCCGTTTGTGTCACAATTTTGAACTCCAGCGGCTGCTGGTGCTTTAACAGAGGTTCCGTGAGCGGATTGAGCGGCGGTGCTAACGGCGAAGCAGCGAATGTGGTTGCGGAAAGCAGTCCGCTCTTTCGCTCGTTGCGGGACGTAAATAACGCGGATACAGACGGTGTTAGCAGCAGCAGCAGCAGCAGTGGTACTAGCAGCAGCAGGCTCCGAACCTCCCAGCTTATGGAGCACGCGGACTCGGCTGGTTTAGGTTCGGCAATTTCCGAACCAGGTTCGGCCGGTGGTTCGGACGATCGACCGTTCATTTACGTGTACGATTTAGGTCCGGAATACACGGAGAAAGTCTTGGAGCTGAACCCGGCGTGGTACAACCACCAGTACGACGTGGAGCGTTACATGACGGAGGTCATCCGGACAAGTAACGCCGTACGTACGGACGACCCGGAGCAAGCAACGCTGTTCCTCATCCCGTTCTTCGCGGCGCGTTACACGCTGTACTGCTTCCGGTCGTGGGAGAACAACATGCGGCAGGCGATTGAGGAAGGTTCCAGGGTATGTTCGAATCTCTTTTAAGAACTCTTCGAAGTTGTGAGACGTCTAGAAACTCTTAGAAGCGGTACGCGCGGCAGGCGTTCGTGCGATAGGCGGAAGGCTTCAAGGCACTGTCCAGCCGCGCGGAAGGTTCGAGCGACAAGTGACGCGCGGCTCCGCCGCACCCGGCCGGTTTCGCTCGTTTCTTGTCCTGTCTGCCGTGTAATTGACCTTGATAGCAGCACCCATTTCACATCTCGGCGTCCCCAGATTCCGCTCCTCCATCAGTTCTCCCCTCCTCCCCCTCCCCCTTTCCCCATCCCTTTCTATCCCCCCTCCCTTTCCCCTTCCCCTCCTCCCTTGTATTTCCCCCCTCCCCCTTTCCCGCCAGCCGTCCACCATGTAGTTCCCCCCGGCCGTTCCTCCTAAGCAATGTTCCCCAATTGTGTCCCCAATTCCACCCCTTTTCCTACTGACAGATATGGGAGAAGCTTATAACGAGGGTGAGGAAGGAGCACCCGTACTTCAATCGAACCAACGGCAAAGATCACTTTTCCTTTGGCACGCTCGATCACGGCCGTTGCCACTCGCTCACGTTCGTGGACCCGCGGGTGTATGGCGAAATGTTCTTTGTAACCCTAAACGGCGACAAGCTGGTTCGCAGCATTCATTCCAGCCCTGGGCGAAACATGCAGGTAACTGCGTACAGTTATGTTTTTCTTTTTGTTATACTTTTTTGTCTTCTTCTTCTTCTTAAAACCATTCTCTGCATTTCGTTTCTTTTGCTCTTTTTGTTAATGAAAAAGAGAGAGAGTCGACTAAAAAACCATTGAATTCCCGGGCGAAACGTGCAGGTCATTTCGTACAACTACGGTGCGAAGATCACAGATCCGACGGTCCCAGATATCCCGTGCTACGTGCCGAACCACGACATCGTCGTGCCAGCGCTGGTCGCGAATCGCCTGCCCATCGTGCCGCCCTTTGAGTCGGAGCGCGAGATCAAGGTGCTGTTTCGGTTCGGCGCGTCGCAGCACCACGGCGAGCCGCTGAAGCACCACAACCGCGACATTCGGAGGGAGTTAATCGAGGTGCGTGGGTGGAGGGACAGCGGGGAAGGGGATAGGGAGGAGGGAGGAAGGAGGGAGGAAGAAGGGAGGAAGGAGGGAGGAAGGAAGGGGGAAGGAGGGAGGAGGAGGAAGTGGGGGATCGGGAGCTCTCATGCGAGACGGAAAAGGGCAATGCGCGGATGGCAGGGAAGAGGGCACAGGGCACGAGGGATGACTTTTGAGTCGACTCAGAAGGCACCTCGTTACAATGGCAGACGGAAAAGGGCAATGTGTGGATGGCGGGGAAGAGGGCGCAGGGCACGAGACCAGGGGTGGGGCTTGGCAGGGAAAGGGGAGTATGAGACGGACGAGGAGGAGGAGGAGAGGGAGAAGTGTGCGTGTGTTACGTTTGCCTCTCAGTTCTCCCACTCCCCCCCACTCCCCTCTCCCCCACTCCCCCCCACTCCCCTCTCCCCCACTCCCCCCCACTCCCCTCTCCCCCACTCCCCCCCACTCCCCCTCTCCCCACTCCCCCCCACTCCCCTCTCCCCCACTCCCCCCCACTCCCCTCTCCCCCACTCCCCCCCACTCCCCTCTCCCCCACTCCCCCCCCACTCCCCTCTCCCCCACTCCCCCCCACTCCCCTCTCCCCCACTCCCCCCCTCCCCTCTCCCCACTCCCCCCCACTCCCCTCTCCCCCACTCCCCCCCCACTCCCCTCTCCCCCACTCCCCCCCACTCCCCTCTCCCCCACTCCCCCCCACTCCCCTCTCCCTCCAAACATACAAGGACCGGGGCCACGAGGGGTGGGATTTTGCGGAGAAGGGCGAGTGTGAGACGGACGAGGAGTGGAAGGAGAGGGAGAAGTGTGCTTGCTTGCTACGTCTGCCTCAGTTCTCCCCTCCTCCTTTCCCTCTCCCTCCCGTTCCATAGAAAGATAGTTTCGACTTGGATCCAACGGTCCTAACTCGTCCTAATCTCCTTTAGGCTGAGCTTAGGCTAGTAGGGATTGAATAGGTAAGAAATTGTCATTCAAACCTGAGTGTACGCGTTTCGGCCGGTGGCCTTCATCAGCGCTCTCTGAATTACAAGAAAGACTTCCCCTTATCTACTCCCATCTACCTTGCCCAACACTCAACCAAGAAACAAAGATCCAGAGCGGCTCGTCATTGCGGCTCGCTTGCTGACTGTACAAAACACTTGCAATGCATTTCAACATGCAGGTTGGTGGGACGAATTCAATCCCATCAGCTTACGGGGGTGGTGTGTCCCCGTTTTCTGAAACTTCGCTTTTACTAAGAGGTTGCGTATCCTCTTTGAAAGGCGCCAACACACTAACATCCATGGGAGGGAAATTCGTTGCAGCGTATGTTTTTTGAGAATTCTCAAAAAGCACTTGCTTGCTACGTCTGCCTCAGTTCTCCCCTCCTCCTTTCCCTCTCCCTCCCGTTCCCCTCTCTCCCCTCCCTCTCCCTCCAGACATACAAGGACCGGGGGTACGAGGGGTGGGATTTCGCGGAGAAGGGCGAGTATGAGACGGACGAGGAGTGGAGAAGGAGCGGGAGAAGTGTGTGTGTGTGTGTGTGTGTGTGTGTGTGTGTGTGTGTGTGTGTGTGTGTGTGTGTGTGTGTGTGTGTGTGTGTGTGTGTGTGTGTGTGTGTGTGTGTGCGCGCGCTACGCCTTCCTCTCAGTTCTGCTGCTGCTCCCCTCTCCCCTCCCATCCCCCCCACGTCTGCCAATCTCTCCTCTATCCTTCCTGCCAGACGTACAAGGACGCGGGGCACGAGGGGTGGGATTTCGCGGAGAAGGGCGAGTATGAGACGGACGAGGAGTGGAAGAAAAGCGTCTTCTGCATCTGCCCGCCCGGCCACTCCCAGTGGACCAGCCGCCCCTTTAAGGTGCGCGTTGCTTCTATCATGGTAACCCGATACAGTAATGGTAACCCAATACACTAAGCCGGTCAACCAGCCATACAGTATTGGTACCCCTACAAAAAAGTTAATGTAGCTGTACAATATATGTTACCAAAGCCTACAGTACAAGTAACCCAATTTCATAGCCATGATAGACCCAACCATATTCCGCCCCGTCACCTGCCTCTTCCCACACATTCCCCCTCTCTTCCCCATCCCCTTCCGTCTCCCCCACGCCAGGCAATCATCTCAGGGTGTATCCCAGTGACGTTCTTCCAAGGCCATGACAACCCCTAGGGACGATGAGCTGGACCCAAGCGTTCCCCCTCCTTTCCCCTATTTCTCCTCTCCTCCGCCCCTACAGGCAATCATCGCAGGGTGTATCCCAGTGACGTTCTTCCGAGGCCACGACAACCCCTGGGATGATGAGCTCGATTACTCGACAGTCTCGGTCAACATTGATCCCGACGAGCTGCACACACTGAAGGAGCGGTTGGATGCGGTTCCAATCAAGAAGTTGCAAAGGAACATTGAGCAGATTCAGGTGGGTGTGTGGGGGTGGGTGCGAGTCGAGTTGTACGTAGTATTGTATGCATGAGTAGTTGTCACGACAGCCCCTGGGACGATGAGCTGGACTACTCGACAGTCTCGGTTAACAACGATTCCGACGAGCTGCATACTCTTGAAGAGTGGTTGGATGCGGTTCCGGTTAAAAAGCTGCTGCGGAACATTGAGCAGATCCAGGTGGGTGGGTGGGTGGGTGGGCGGGTGGGTGGGTGGGTGGGTGGGTGGGTGGGTGGGTGGGTGGGTGGGTGGGTGGGTGGGTGGGTGGGTGGGTGGGTACACGAGTCAGCCTGTATGTGTTGAATGCATGAGGAGTCCCGACAATCCTTGGGACGACGGGCTGGACTACTCGACAGTCTCGGTCAACATCGATCCCGACAACCTGCACACGTTGAAGGAGCGGTTGGATGCGGTTCCCATTAAGAAGCTGCAGCGGAACATCGAGCAGATCGAGGTAGGTGGGTGGGATGGTGGGTACAAGGCGGCCTGTATTATTTATTAAATGCATGAGGAGGAGCCCCGACAATCCCTGGGACGATGAGCTGGACTACTCCACCGTATCGGTCAACATAGATCCCTACAGAGCTGCACACTCTTAAAGAGCGGTTGGATGCGGTGCCGGTCAAGAACCTGCAGCATAACATCGAGCAGATTCGGGTAACATGAAGCATATACAGTGTTACAACTGGACACTCTTTTGAGGCGCCTCAGATTCGGGTAACATGGAGCTCATACAGCGTTACAACTGGACACTCCACTTCATTTCCCCTCTTCACATTCCTCCCTCGTCCTTGTGTTTTCTCCCCGAACAACAGGAGGCTTATCGGTGGACAGGGGTGTACAATAGAGAATCCAATTGAGCGTCCAGCTCTTTTTTTTTTTTTTTTACCCCATTCCTTTCCTTTGTTTTCTCCCCGGACAACAGGAGGCTTATCGGTGGACAGGGGTTTCCAATAAAGGAGCAGAGGCGATGCTATTGAAGAGGCTGCGGCAAAGAGGGAACCAGCTCCAGGCAGTGGAGCAGCGAAGATTACGGGCCTTGCAATAATGATTACAATGAGGAGAATGATGAGGAGTAAGCGGGGGGGGAGAAGAGTTGATGCTGTTAAAGCGGCTGAGGCAACAAGGGGACTAGCTGCAGGCAATTGACCAGCGAAGGTTACGGGCCTTGCAATAATGATTACAATGAGGAGAATGGGGAGGATGAGGAGGAGGATTTTAAGTTAAAAGGTAGACAGGCACGTTTGAATTGTGCGGCGTTGGAGGCTGGTGTACGGTATACTTATTGCAGGCAGTGCAGCAGCGAAGCGAAGAGTACAGGCCCTGTAATAATGGTTGTGACGTTGGAGGTTGGTTGGTGTATAATTATTGCAAGCAGTGCAGCAGCGAAGCGAAGGGTAGGGGCCCTGCAAAAATGGTTGTGACATTGGAGGTTGGTTGGTTGTGTTAGAATCTAGCAGCAGGAATGGATGAACTAACAGGATGCAGGAGTACAAGTAGTAAACCCTAACTAGGTTGTACCCCATATGGGCTACCCCACTACAGCCTAGACAATATGCAGCACATATAGTTTGACACACCCCCATAGGCAAAGTGGGGGAGAACAAGGGGTCACACGACCAGTCAAGAGAAGCAAAACAAGCTCAGGGTGGATCACAACGTCACCACGCATTCTGAGCACAAGCAAAGGGCCACTGGGCCAGTTCACATGCAGAGATATATATGCAGCAATAACAGTACAGTGATGGCTACCTAGCAAGAACCAGCATGCATATATATATATATGTACAGATCACAGTACAAGCAGAGACTACAGCAAGTGTGGAAACGTAGGCACAAGGCCTAACAGAGTACAAAAGCGCTGATGATCACCAGACGGAAGTGCCTTGGTGAATATGTCAGCAGTGTTGGCCCGAGTGGCCACGTGGCGAAGACGAAGCTGGCCTCGCTGCTGCAACTCTCGAGCCAGGAAGTACCGCAGAGCAATGTGCTTCGTCCTGTGCTCCAGTCTGTGCTCCTCACACAAGGCAATGGCGGCCTTGTTGTCAACGTACAGCACTGGAGGAGAACGAGGCTGCTCTCCCAAGTCAGTCAGCAGGTAGGTGAGCCAGCGTAACTCCTGTGCAGCCATGGCGGTGGCGTAGATCTCAGCCTCACAACTGGAGCCGAGAACTGAAGTCGAGCGTGTAGAACGCCACGAAACTGAACCAGAGCCAAGGCTGAAGGTGTAACCCTGTGACGACCGCTGAGTAGCCAGGTCGTCAACCCAAGAAGCGTCTGAGTGCCCAGTGAGGACAACTGGGCTCGTCCCTCCAAGCACTAGCCCCATGCCTGATGTGCTGCACAAGTAACGCAGTACCCTCTTAGCAGCAGCCATGTGCTCAGGTCGGTGCCGACCAGGAGCCACGTAGCGAGCCAGGAGACCAAGAGGGTACGCGAGGTCAGGTCGAGTGCAAGTCATCAGGTACATGAGGCAGCCGACTAGCTCTGGGTAAGGACCACTCGGCTCTACGGACTCGTCCAAAGGTGGAGCTGAGAGCGTGTGACCTGTAGCCAGAGGAGTGGCCTGTGCTGAAGACCAGGTGAAGCCGAAGCGCTGAAGGACCTGCTGCACCATGTGTGACTGAGTCAAGGTGATGGTGCGACGTGCTCTGTCTCGGGTGATCTGCAAGCCAAGGTAGCTGCGCAGCTCACCCAAGTCTGTGCACGTGTGTCTCTTCTGCAGCTCGGACTTCACCAGGGCGAGAACATCAGTGTCAGCAGTGGCAAAAACCAAGTCGTCGACATACACGAGGATGTAGTGTCAAACTATATGTGCTGCATATTGTCTAGGCTGTAGTGGGGTAGCCCATATGGGGTACAACCTAGTTAGGGTTTACTACTTGTACTCCTGCATCCTGTTAGTTCATCCATTCCTGCTGCTAGATTCTAACATGGTTTCAGAGCACTAAGGTCCGTAGGACCGTTTTTTTTTCGGGCCCACCTACCGCTGCGGTTACCGCGCTACCCCACGTAGCCTTGCCTTGCCTTGTATGCCTTGCCTTGCCTTGCCTTGCCTGCGCGCTGCCCCTAGAGGCCCGTAAGGCCCGCGCGCCGCCTCTACACGCCTGTCGGGCCCGCACACACGCTGCTACCGCGCGCTGCCCGCACCGAGATCGCGCAGCCCGCCCCGAGTCGCGCGCAGCCCGCTGCAGCCACGCGCAGCCCGCACCGAGCCGCGCGCAGCCCGCTGCAGCCGCGCGCAGCCTGCACCGAGCCGCGCACAGCCCGCTGCAACCGCGCGCAGCCCGCACCGAGCCGCGCGCAGCTCGCAGCTGCCGCGCGCAGCCCGCGCCGAGCCCGCGCAGCCCGCGTCGAGCCGCGCGCGGCCTGCTACGGCCTCGCGCAGCCCGCGCGCGGCCCGCAGCAGCTCGTGCCGAGCCGCGCGAGGCCTGCTCCTGCCTCGCACGGCCCGCGCGCGGCCCGCAACAGCCCGCGCCGAGCCGCGCGCGGCCCGCTACTCCCTAGCGCGGCCGCGCGCGGCCCTTTGCCTCGGCCCCGACCTGCCGCTGATGCGGCCCCGCCCAGCAGCTGCCATGGCCCCGACCTGCCGCTGATGCGGCCCCGCCCTGCAGCTGCCACGACCCCGACCTGCCGCTGACGCGGCCCCACCCTGCTACTGCCGCTGACGCGGCAGCGCCCTCCAGCTGTTTCGGCCCTGCTCTGCAGCCGGTTTTGCGGCCCCGACGTCGCCGCTGTCGTGCGCCTACTCGAGCGCCGGCCCTGCTCTCCCAGCCTTTGGTGAGCGCCTGCCTGCCTGCCTGACGGCCTGCCTGTCTGCCTGCCTGCCTGCCTGCCTGCCGGCCTGGCTGCCTGCCTGCCTGCCGGCCTGCCTGCCTGCCTGCCTGTCTGCCTGCGTGTCTACTTGCCTGCCTGCCTGCCTGCCTACCGGCCTGCCTGCCTGCCTGCCTGTCTGCCTGCCTGCCTGCCTGCCTGGCTGCCTGCCTACCTGCCGGCCTGCCTGCCTGCCTGCCTGCCTGCTTGCTTGCCTGCCTGCCGCGCCTGCCTTTCCTGCGCTACTGCTACTGGCAGGTGGCCAGATGCAGCTCCAGCGACATTCACGCGAGCCTCTGACGCCTCAGCAGCTTAGTGAGTGGTATACTAGCTGGGGTTGTCGCGGTAGCCGTCGTAGCTGTCGCCCTGGAGCTGGTCAGTTGGGAGCGTCTGGCAGTGGCCAGCTGCAGCTGCAGGGACGTCCACGTGAGACACTTACGCCCCGGCAGCTCCAGGAGTGGTACGCTCAGTGTAGCAGGTCTACGCGTACAGTCCGCTGCCCGTACGTCATTCGCACAGGTGCTAGGACTGGTCAGCCTTGTGGGACGCTTGGTCACACACAGTCCCGCTGCTTCGCCCGTCTGAGCGACGACTGGCGCACAGTGTTTGGCGACGAGGCTGAGCTCCCCACCTGGCTGGAGCTGCATAGACAGAGGGTAGATATCTTTGCGCTTGACTATGATGCTATTCTCACTGCCATGTATGCATTGTCTACTAGTGCTGACCGTGCCTGTTGCCTGTGCGTACCGCCTGACCCTGGTGAGGCTGCTGCCCTAGGTGCTAGTGCGTCTCCTGCTCTAGGTGCTGGTGAGGCTGCTGCTCTCGGTGCTAGTACGTCTACTGCTCTAGGTACTGGTGAGGCCGTGGCATCAGGTGCTGCTGTGTCTGCTCTCTCTGGTACTGCGCCCACTGCGGTCTCGCACACCTTCACCCTTGACTCAGGAGCTTCCCGCTCCTTCTTTCGCGACTGCACCGCACTTACGCCGCTCCGTCGGCCAGTCCCGGTCTCCCTGGCGGACCCCTCTGGGGGTCCAGTCCTTGCCCACTATTCCACGGTTCTGCCGTGTCCGGCCGTCCCGTCCGGCTCGCTGTCAGGTCTTTACCTCCCCTCGTTCTCTATGAACTTGGTGAGTGGAGCTGACCTCCAGGATGGGGGGGTTCACCAGTTCACTCCTGCGAGTCAGCGAGTGACTCACTGTACGTGTGCTAGGACGGGCCGGCACTTGGCCACGTTCACCCGTGCACCTGGCTCGAGTCTGTACACACTGACCACTGAGTCCCCTCAGGTAGCTGCGTCTGCGTTTGCGTCTGCGTCTGGTCAGCTGGCGGCCCCCTGCGAGTGTCGCGCTTTGTCGCACGACACTCTCCTGTGGCACCACCGCCTTGGTCACCCCTCCTTGCCTCGCCTGCGTAGCATGCACTCTCGCTCCCTGGTCTCTGGTCTTCCCAGGTCCCTGCCTGCCCTCCCTCCCTCGCCTGCGCCGCCCTGCATTCCTTGCGTCGAGGGGCGGCAGCGCGCCGCTCCTCACTCCTCCTCGTTTCCTCCCACAGAGGCTCCACTGCAGACGCTCCACCTGGACGTGTGGGGCCCAGCCCGCGTCCAGGGACAGGGCCGCGAGCGGTACTTCCTGCTGGTCGTCGACGACTACACGCGTTACACCACGGTCTTCCCCTTGCAGAGCAAGGGGGACGTCCCTGCTGTTTTGATCCCCTGGATCCGCGCTGTTCGTCTCCAGCTCCGCGAGCGGTTCCGGTCGGACTTTCCTGTCCTGCGTCTGCACTCTGACAGAGGTGGTGAGTTCTCCTCCGACCTCTTGGCAGCCTACTGTGCGGAGCACGGCATCACCCAGTCGTTCACGCTTCCGGCCTCTCCGCAGCAGAATGGGGTTGCTGAGCGCCGCATTGGCTTAGTCATGGAGGTCGCTCGTACCTCCATGATCCATGCGGCTGCCCCCCATTTTCTGTGGCCGTTTGCGGTCCGGTACGCCGCGCATCAGCTCAACCTCTGGCCCCGTGTCTCCTTGCCGGAGACCTCGCCCACACTGCTGTGGACGGGGAAGGTTGGCGATGCGTCGCGTTTCCGGGTCTGGGGTGCTCGTGCCTTTGTCCGCGATACCACCGCGGACAAGCTCTCCGCCCGCGCTGTTCCCTGTGTCTTCCTTGGCTTTGTCCCTGACGCGCCTGGTTGGCAGTTTTACCACCCCACCTCGCGCCGTGTCTTTGCGTCTCAGGACG